GGCAGCCTCGCGACCGAACCTCCCACTCGACGCCGACTACCACGAGGCGGCAGCGGCGTGCCCCGTCGAGCCCCCGCGAAAAGCCAATCGGGACAGGAGAATGGTCTTCGCCACGCAATCGCGAAGGCCTTCTCGTTCTCGGCATGCCACCCGGTATTCACGAATACGTCCACAGCTTCCCGGCCGCGAAGCGGACAGAGCACGAACACCCAGCCGTGTGGCTGCTGCCCGCAGTCACAGCCCACTTCGCTGCGGACTGAGACGCCGCTGTTGCGACTTGCCTCGGCGGCGCAAGCCGCCGACTACCTCGCTGCTGAAGGTTTCGACGGGCAAGGAGGGTGGCGACAGTGCAAGGGCGCGGGAGGCAAGGGCACCGCAGATGGCAGGCTTAGCGAGCGGGTCAAGCAGGTCACGGCAGGCAGAGGGATGGGGTGCGACCGGCAGTGCTAACGCGCAGGCGGCGCAGGAAGAGCAATCGGAACTTTGCGGAGGGGATGGTGACTGAGTAGGGCTGTGGCCCAGCCTGGGACAGCAGCAGCGCCCGGGACACGGAGGGTAGGGGCGCTGGTGACAGGGGCGGGAGGCGTGCCGCTGCCAGCCTCGACGACGATGCCCTGGCAGGTCGTGGTCGGCGTGCGCCAACTGCCGCGGCTTTGGGGCATCCCTGCCGCGGCTTTGGGGCATCCCAAGCGGGGAAGGAGGCTGGCGCTAGCACCACCTGCGTCACAGGGACCTTCGTCGAGAACGTATTTGCGGTTAAAAAGGCGCGTGAGAAAAAATGACCTGGTAATCGGAGCGCAGGGACTCGTTCACAGTACAGGTACCCGAATCCAGGGTTGTGGCGTGTCTGTAGAAAAAAAAGCCTAGCCTGTGAGTTTCAAGCGAAAGCAACCCAGAAGGGTACCGTACGGGCCGTGATAACCTGTGTAGGCTAATGTACTAAAAGAAATGTACCCCTACAGGCAGGGCCCCGCATTCAAAATTTCAGTATTAAAACTAAAGCTTTCAGCCCAAAGGCAGTGCCTGAATTTCCCACCGAGCCAGTCATGTTTTCCATCTGCAGCGCTTCGTTCAAGACCAGTGGGCAGCTGCAGAGGTTGTCTTTGCATGAAAAAACGCGCTGGGCGTGATTTTGGGGGACCCAAGAGCTCTTGTTGTTTTGCTCCTTTTTGGCTCATCAGCGTTTTTCCAAACGTCTCCTGTGTGGTTGCTCAAATATGTGTTGCACACACCAGCACACTCGACATCCGAATGGAGCAATCGAATGTGGAATGAAACCGCAAGAATCAAGCGCCTGAAAACATGCGCTTGGTTTCATGTCCCGAGGTGTGCTTCTAGATGGATTTGTTTCCAAGAGTGGTTCGGTCCTTGAACAGCCGTTGACGGGCTAAGCCTTTCAGATGTCTTTTCAAAAAAAAACCTTATGGATTTTACGGGCCAGTGTTGGGTTTGTTTTACTTACCACGGGCAACTGCAGAGATTAGACATTGCAGGGTTCACTGTTTTTTGGCATTGGAATTTGCAGTCCAGTCAGGGAACTTAGTGTCCACACTACCACAAGAATGAACACAGCGTCAACGCGGGCTCCCGACAGAGCAGACACTTGACACAGACATGCGCACAGAGATGTGTAAAGACGTTCAAAGACATAGCATGGTCAGCCTTTACCGCAGCCTCGAAACAAAAGTCAGCTAAGCCGTTGTGACATCCGAGAGAAATGGTGGGTGCTTTGTTGCACCGCCTCGTGTGGGGTTGTACCGGGTCAGCCCGCAACGATACCAAGCGTGCTTCCGCCTTTCGCTGAAAAACGTGAGCTTTTGGGATGTTGCCTTCAATGTAGCCGATGCAGCCGAGAGTACGACAAGTTCATTTTTCCAAAAAGTCAACTTTACGGCCACAGTGTTTCTAGAGAGAAACGATGCAGTAGATCGCCAGATGCTGTTGACAGCCGCAGTGATCACGTGACAGTAGGAAGCAGCTATTGCCAAATGCAACACAAATGTGAACATCCTTTCGGTCGACATGCGGCAAGAAATGGATGACAGCACTGGACTTGCAACGCCAGAAATCCCGTGGGTGGGCACGTCTCTCGGTGGAGATGTCGCGCGCAGTCATCGAGTTCCCTGTCGACTACGCCCTGAAGAGAATTAATGGATTTAGTGGGGCTGCCATTCCAAGCTAAGGGAGCGTTGGATGTTGCAGTATCGCGTCATCAAATCAGCATCAACGACCTTATTTCCGGGAGCAGGAAGATCCCGAGCATCGTCATCGATGAAGCAAGCTTTGCAATACTTGGAGTTGTGGCTGAAGATGGGCGCGGTCTAGCTGGATCAGCTCTACAAGCCATCACGACATGGACCAAGCAGGCAGGTCAAGCAAGTTTGACCATTCAGAGTTTGGCTATCCGCTCCGGCTGTTAGCAAACGGTTCAGACCTGAGCAGCGTTCAACAAGTGCTTGTCATTAGCGAAATGCCACAGTCCGACATGAAGGAAATGCTGACAGACGATTTGGGCATGGACAAAATTTTGTCAGATATGTTCTACGACTGCTTCGGTGGCGACATTTACACGACCAAGAAGGCGTCTGCTATGCCCCCGTCTGGCTTCCTGTGCACAAGACCCAGATTCCCGGGCACCCTTGGAGAACATCGCCAGGCAAGGCTTCTCCGTGGTGATGAATGTGGAGGCCGACGAAGGTCAGGAAGAACGTGGGCGGCGTCATTGGCCGCGACGCCATCACCTTCGGATTGCCCGACAATTTCCACTGGCACGGACATGGGCTGTCATTCCATCGTGTTACCAGATGAAGCTACTTATTGCCCGCAAGCTCCAGCAAATTCCTTCGCCAACATCAGGACGGTGTTTCAGAAACAGGTTCCCGTGCGTGTTTTATTCTGTTTTGCTGACACGGTTCCAAAGGAGGAAGCGGTTGGAGGTTAAATAAGCTTGCTTCGATTGACTTGGACAATCAACAGGTTGATCAAAACATATATCAAGACTGGACAAAAGCCACAGGATCCCACCTACTCCAGGCGGGGCCGACCAAGATAGCTGTTGCATGAAGGCTTTGCTGAAAGTGGTATCTGGTACCGTGTCGGGGCAGTGGGCTCTGTTTTGAGGCGATTTTGCGCGGGAAGCCGAAGAGAATCATGTGCGACACAGATGAGATGGACATTTGCACCCTACAAAAGGAGCAGTGACAAGCCACTCTCTTGTGTCCAACCCGTTTCCAAGCCACATGTGTCCAAGCCACGTGTGCTCCAATTTCCTAACCTTCTTGCGGTTGACCCCTGAGCCCCTGTAACTGAGCTGTTTATGATCTGCAGGATGGTGAGTGGAAGAAGGACGACCAATTGAATGCAAGCCTTCGCGGTCAGCTCAGGTAATGACACAAAGCCACGACAATCGGCAAAGAATGCTGGTCGTGATGTGGTCGTTCGCTAAGACGGTCGACCTGGAAGTGGCCAATTCCGCCGGAACCGCGTGGCAAACGGGAAATTTGCTGAAAAGTGGTCGATGCCGAAACCTGGTTGTTGTAGCGCAACACCACCTTGGAGATTCGATCGGGAGGCGAAGGAGTTTCAATCGCTGAAGCTGGCAAGATCAACGCAAATAGGCCATCAAGTAGCGGCAGGAGAAAGGGTGTGATAATTTTCCAATGTTCGCGATTTTCTTAGCACAGTCCATTCCCTAGGTCAGTTTGGGCCAGACATGTCAACGTGCCTATGTCGCTTGCTGTCTGGTTTTAGCCCGAGCAGGCCAAGAAATACATTTGCAGCAAAAACACAATTCTTAAGGTAAGGTTGCTTTGCTCGTGGCAAGTCAATGCCTTCGAAACAAACTCTTGTGGTATGGGGTATGCGCAGCATGCAATAGGTCGGGCAACCCAACCACAGAACCTACACAGTACACCAGGTGGATTCTGTAGAACGAAGATTTTCTCGAGAAAACACGCTGTGCTGAATCCAAGTAGTATGTTGCAACCGCCATGTGGCTGGCGCACCGTTCATGCCAATGGGTTGATGCCGCAGGTGCGATTGTGACATGTTGCTCGCAAAGCAAGCGCCGAGGTAAAGGGTAAAGAACATGCCTTGCCAACAAGGCTTGCCAGTGCAAATCCCACGGCGGGCCTCGCATGGACAACTCTGAGGCAGGGATCCCTGCATGGAGTTGAATGGGTAACAAAAGTGCTGGTGCAGTCGTTGTCCATGCTAGGCTTGGACAGCCCATCTACCGGCCCCTCGTTGTGTTCCAATCGAACCTGGCATGTGGAGACCTTGATATATCATTTGCAACATCAGGCATTCCATGAGTCCGTGGCCCATTTCAGGCAACAGCCGTGGCATTTCGCTATGCCGGGGAGTTTGGAGGCCGAAGGTTGTTCAGTGCCAGTGGCCTTCACATAATCTTCAGACAACCGTGCAGGCGGATGCTGATGTCAACCGACTTGATGGCAGGTTTGCTCCTGCAGCTTGCTTTGTGTGGATTCCTCAGTTCGGAGTGAGAAACGCGAAGGTTATACAACAATGGTGATTCTGTTTGGAACCAGTGTCCACGTGCTCGCCCAAGCCGGTCGGTGTCAACCGTCTTCATAGCATCCCTTCTTTTCGCAATGCAGGTGATACCCACCGTTTAGCTGGTTGGCAAACGCATTTAAGATGCCGAGCCAACAGTGCCGGCCCAAGCAAAGTGATATCTGTGTGGTCGGGTACTGTAGCTTCTCGAGGCAACGGGTGCAACAAATGTTCGGCACAGACGGGTTGGGATGGAGGTCTGCGCCTGCTTGTCAAAGCTTGCTATCAAGATGATTTACGCGGCATCAGGACCGAGAAATGCCTACACCGACCAGCGGCCATCTCAGCACTCTGCAGCACTCCGATTGAAGGCCTCACACGGTTACTTGCCACGTCTCTGCCAGATTTTAATTTACTAGACCGATGAACATTTGTGTTTTGGCAATCGTACCTTGGCACCGTGCGCCTTAGGGTCGTGTGATAGCTGGCCGGCTTGCTGATGAATTTTGGAGTTTCTATCTATCGAGGCTCCTGCAAGTCTTGCATGGGCTTGGAAGGCACTGGAGCTCGAGCACGAAGAACTGCGGCGACAGTTGGAGTTGCAGCAGCACCGCGATTACATTATTTTGGAGCAGCAGTTGGCCATTTAGATATGAAGACGCGTGCTTTCAATTTTGTGTCCATTGCGATTTCCGACCGAGTTTCAAAAGCTGAGCTGAGGCTTCCACAGCGCCAAGACAGAAGCTGCCGGCCAAACACGTGTCAGGCGCTAGAGTGTGCACGAGTGCGCATCACTACGCTGGCAGTGAAGCCGAAGTACTTGAGGACAGGCGCCCCGTATCAGAAACATTGGTCCCAGGATGGCCACAGTTGTGGCAGTCGTTGCTCTGGACCAACGAAGTCGCGCTCGCGAAGTGTCCCCGGCTAAGAACCTGCTTCTGGGTTGTTGAGACGAGAGCAAAAGAGAGAGAGAGAGAGAGAGAGCCCTAGCAAAGCAAAGCAAAGAGAGAGAGAGAGAGAGTGGAAGAAGAGAGAGAGAGAGAGAGAGAGACAGAAAGAGAGAGAGAGATAGAGACATGTGGGACTTGCGCGTTCGCGTGCGGGGGTGCGAGCTGCCGCTCGTGCCCTCTAGCCTGGTAGAGAGAGAGAGAGAGAGACCTGTGGCCCGGGGGTCTTAACCGACCCTCATGCCCGGGAGAGAGAGAGAGAGAGTAGCCATTTTGGCTCAAGCCATTTTGGCTCAAGTGGTTCAAGGTGCCGCCCCGTGTCCAGGCACCTCAAACCCGGTCGGTGAGAGCTACAGAGAGAGAGTTGTGAAACCCCGGGGGGAAGCCTCCTTCGGACGTGCTGCCATCCATTCACTTCTACCAGTTTGCTGCCCTACGCGACTTCACCATCCCCGTTCTCGCCGGGGAAATCGTCAAGGACAGAGAACGAGGGGGACCGCGGCCGAAGGCGAGCGGGGGACTGTGACACCCGCTACCTCAAGGCAATCGGCGAGCCTACTCGCACCGAACGCTCTGATTGCGATTCGACGCTCCATCAACGCTGGGCGGGGGACGATTTCACGTACCTGACTGAGTTGATGGCAGGGACATCGAGAGTGCCATCCTCGACAATGCCAGACGGGGAAATGCCCGGAGCCCGCAAGCGCCCTGCCCAAGGGGGAGACGATGAAGAAAGGCCGCTGACTCTTTCCACCCTCCTTGACGCACTCAAGGAGAACCGGGAAGAAATCGTTTCTCAAGTTCGAGAGGACATGCAGACGTTGGAGAACCGTGTCACCAACGTTGAGGGGACCGTTGAGATGCAGGTGCAACAAACCACAAAACTACTGGAGGCCATGACGGACCGCCACTGTGCCATGGAGCAAAGTGTTAAGAAAGTGGGGGAAACACAAGAAGAAGTTATGAGGCGCCTGGAACTGCTGGAAGGCAAATTTGCCAATGCAGACTTTTCCCTTTCAAGCACCCGCACTTCGGACGACGGGGGAAACCCCGGACAGCGGCCGGCCCTCATCATTGGGGGATGGGAAGCCGACCAGCATCATGAGGAGACCCTACGACTCGTGAAGAAACACCTCCGAGACCTGGAGATTGACCTGGACTTGTCACAAGCCTTTGTCCCCGGCCTCAGACGGGGATTTGCAATCGTGCCCCTGCTCAAGCAAACCAACGAGGGGGAAGCCCAGCTCCGAGTCCGTGTCCAAGGCATTTTGCGAGCTGTGCGGGAGGCCAAAGTCATTACTGGACAGCGCCGCGAAGGGGGAAATCGATATCTGTTCGCGACTATGAGCCAATCCCCGGAGCGGCGAAAGCGCGCACAGCTAGCGGGGAAAATCAAGCGGCTCATCATGGAAGAAGGTGGTGATCCACGCCAACTCGAGGTGGAGTTTGGGACGGCTAACGTCTGGTATAACACCGTGAAGCTGGCCTCGGGGGTCACATCCCCGCCCGAAGGAGCTACGACTGAGAAATCAGGCTGGGTGCACTTGAGCACACTAGCCAGGCAGATCGGG